TGTCCCTCTTTTCCTCATTCCTCACTCCTGCAGTAAGCCAGCCCCTTCCTGGCACTCTTGCAGCTTCTGTCCTGGCTGGTCCCTTCATCACAGGCTCTCCCTTTTCAGGTATTTTTTCAGAGATGCTTTCCGTTGTTGCTCCCCACTCCTCAGGTGAGTTCAGGGAGTCTGTCCACCACAGCCTGATGAAGAACGCAGAATTTAGACTGTTTGTCCTTTAAGTCCTGACCATCCCCAGCAACTCAAGACTTTTTCCAAGTCTCTGGGAACTTGTGAACGCATCTTATAAATGTCATGAGCTGGTCACTGTGGAGGCTGGTGCCTTTGAATACCAACTGCACATGCGTGGGAGGATGCAGACAGCAGCTAAGGGAGCAGGATGAAAGTCAGGCCGGCACTATTAGCTGGAGTGGCCAGGTGCTTGTTAACACTGGGCCATGGTGCTGCCTGCCATTCTGCAAGGCTCTATGGGAGATAGCTGCAGGGTCTGACAGGCCATTAGCTCCACAGGGAAATGGCCATGAGTCAGAGTACTGGTAATGGCTTGTTGCTTTTTAAACAATTTTAAGAGGCTTTGTCAGGAAGAGAAGGGACTGTGGGATGCTGTCCCTTGCTCAATTAGAAGCCATGAGTTCTATTTACAGACTGGGTGACCATGGGGAAGACATTTTTCCTCTTTGGCCCTTGTTTTGTTTCTCTCTATAATGAGGATCCTAAAGCTTGTCCATCTAACTCACAGGACATTTGGGGCAAGTTCAGTGGTGCCTTCTCTGTGCCACAGTCCACAGTCCTGTTAGGATGGACACTACCATATGACCCCTCCCAGGTGGTGGCCAAGACTTACAGAAGCTCTGAAAGCTCTGCTAGGGCCACAGCAGGGTAGTTGGTGGCGATGTCTCTGGCAGGCAGAGCTCAATGTATGTATGCATTTGCTTTTCAGATCTTCAGTCATCCTTTAAGATAGAAGTTGTTCTCAAGTTTAGATGGTGACATTGAGGCTGAGTAAAGTCAAGTGACTTGCTCAGAGCCATTTAGCCAATAAGTGGTACATCTGCCTTGAATTCAAGTAGGTCTGAAAGTTCTTTGGAAGACATGAAAAGGAGAATTGGTTAAGCCAGGGGTCCTTATTTTATACCTATACTGCAGGCCTTAAGGAAGAGAAGAGGTTTATTTGGCCTCACAGGTTTAGACCATGATTGGGTGAACGCACTTTTTCTAGGCCTAGGTGGGGTTGGTGTAGCATACCATGGCAGCAACAGTGCATGGCATAGCAAAACGGGCTAATTTCTGATGGGGAAGCAAAAGATAGAGAACAGGGCTAGGGCCTCACTATCCCAGTCGTAGACATGCCCCCAGTGACATAAAGGCCTCCCTTTTAGTTCTACCTCTTAAAGGTTTCAGCATCTCCCATGAGCACTACAGGCTGGCCAAGCATTTAATACATGGACCTTTGAAAGACATTTCACATCCAATCTACAATATTCTGTTCCTGCCCTCAGGGGCTTAAGTCTACTTCACAATGCAAAATACTTTCAGTCCCTCTCTGAGTCCCCTAAGACTTATTATAGCATAGCCCAGGAGACCACTTCCACATTCTCTTCTGAAAGGGCAGACTCTTAGCTATGAGCCCCATTAAAAAAGCAAAAAGAAGGTTAGATACTAGGTAAATATGCCCATTCAAGAAGGGAGGAACAAAAAAATGGCAAGAAGTGATTGGTCCAAAGCAAGACTGAAACCCACCAAGAGCAAACATTAAATTCTGTCTCGGTCCATCCTCTAGGGCACACTGTGGTGGAATATGGACTCCCTGGGTCTGGGGAACTCTACCCCTTCAGCTTTGCTTGTTGCTGTCCACATGGCCACTCTCTTGGGCTGGTTTGCACACTGTCTGCATCCTTCCTCAGTAAGTGTTCCTTGTTCTTACCATCTTTAATTTCACAGGTCTATCGCAGCTTTGGCTTCACTCTCACAATTTCACTCATTGACCTGCGTTTTAGTCAGTTTAGCATTGCTGTGACCAAAAGACCTAATAAGAACTACTTAAAGGAAGGAAAGTTTCTTGACTCATGGTTTCAGAAGTTTAGCCCATGGTTGGCCAACTTCGTAACTCTGGGCCTAAGGTGAGGCAGAATATCATGACAGAAGGGAATGCAGGAGAAAGCAGCTCAGGACATGACAACCAGGATGAGAGAATTTCATTCACCATGACACAATAAGTACCCCAAAGGCATGCCCCATACCTCTGTGACTTACCTCCTTCAGCCACACCCTGCCTGCCTACAGTTACTACCCAGTTAATCCTATCAGTCAGTATTCACATCACAGATCAATATTACATTACTCTCATAACCTAATCATTTCATCTCTGAACAGTATGCATTGTCTCACACTGAGCTTTTGGGGACACTTTATATCTATATCCCAACACCCTCTCAGGGACTACTGGTGGAACACTGAGAGGATGTTAGGATGTAGATATAAAGAGACCCCTGTCCTTTCCTCATCCTCTCTTGAGACCCCTGTCCTTTCTTCATCTTCTGAGCTCTGCCTGCCGGAGACATCTCCACCATCTCCACCATCTCCACCATGCTGCCTGAGCTACTAGGCTTTGAAATCTCTGTAGCAGCCTCCATAATCCCATCACACTTGCATTCTGCATGCCTGCAAAACCAGCATTATGTTGACTGTGCTAGGGTTTCCTGCTAGCAGGATCTGCACCTTGGACTGCTTAAACCAGGCTGTGGCAGTTTCTGAGTGCCTCGATGGCTGAATACTGGATGATTTCCAAGGTGTTCCTGGACAAGCAGGGCTCCCCAGGGCTCTCTTCTCAGAAAATGGCCCAAGAAAGTCTTTGAAACAAATCTCAATTTCTGCAGGTTTGAGCTTGTTTTGGCTGCTGCCTTGCTGATTCTGAGATGCCCTCCAGGCATCTTTCTTGTTGTACTGGTGCAAAGCATTTGGCTTCTTTTTAATGGTGCTAATCTCTCTAGCAACCAGGTCCTCCTTGGCTGTACCTTTAAATGGGTGCCTTTTTTGGCCAAACTATGAACATTTTAGATCTTTCAGCTCTGCTTCTCTCTGTTCCCAATTACCACTATATGTTTGGTGAAAAGCAGAGTAATAACCATGCTGGTGCCTGGCTGCTGTGTTGCCTTGAAATTTCCTCTGCCAGATTAGTTACCTTTGAGGTCTGCCTCCCACAGAGTCTCAGGTCATGGACAAAACAGTCATATTCTTTGCTGTTGTGTAGTAGGGATTGCCTCTAGTCTATATAGAATAATCATTTCCAGCAGAACTCTCATCAACATAGCCTTTCTCTCCACATTCTTATCAGCATTCTGATCTCCTGCACCTTCACTAGAATGGCTCATTGGGTTCTACTTACAGCATTCTAGGCTTTCCCTACCTGCTTGTTCAAACTTTTCAAAATTTCTCCTGCAAACCAGTTCCAAAGGCTCCTCTACATCATCTCAAGTATAGTGACCACCACCACACTTCTCAGTACCAATTTTCTATCTTTGTCACTATAGCAGATGTCTTAGATAATCACCTTATAAACAGAAGAGATTTATTTTGGAAGTTGCTGTCCATGATTGGGTATACTCCTTGCTTTTATGCCTGATGTGGGAGGTGGGCAGCATAACTGGTTACTTTGTGGCAGGGAAGCAAGAGAGGATGAGGAAAGTACAGGGGTCTCACAATTACCTTCAAGGGCACCTGAAGACTGCCATTAGGCCCTGCCTCTTAAAGGTTCCTGCACCTCCTTATAGTTCCATGGGCTGGGGATCAGGCATTTCAGATCCAAACTATAGCATGTGTGTGCTTGTGAGCACTTTAACATATTATTATTAATTTCTTTCTGATAGAAATTGTACATTTGCCCAAATGGTGTTTCCCTAAACTTTAATATTTGCTTTTGGCTGCATTGCATCATTCTAGCACAATAATCATCTCACTGTAAGATATTCTGCCTGATTGTGGATGACACACAAAAATACTAGAGGATCCATACGTGACCAAAGGAGTGGTAAGAGATTGGGATCCCATACAACAAAACAGGAAGTCAGGAAGGTATCCAGAAGAGCTTTCCTGACTCAAAATTGACATTCTGCCACCTAACATGGCCACTCAGGTGTAAATGTCATCTTTCTCATTTAGATGATAAGCTACCCACTCCCCTGGCCCCTGAGCACCTCCACAAACCACAGAATTTTACCATAAGAGAATCATAGATGAATAGATGGTGAGGCGCAGCCAGTCCCCCTTCATTGTTGGTGAGACCCATCTTCCACTTCCTGCAGTGCACCCTGCAGTGTGAGCTCTGAGAGGACAAAACCCAGTCCCTAAGCTTCATCCTGAGTTCCTAGATGGTGCTCAGCACACAGAAGATGCTTGGGGTGGGGGGGTTGGATGGTGGGGTTAAGGAACAAATGAAGAGACAAAGTGGTTGTTTTTGTTCTCAGAGACCCCCATGGTTTCTGTGTTTTAGTCAGCTTTTTCGCTGCTGTGACCAAAAGACCTGACAAGAACAATTTTAGAGGAGGAAATGTTTATATGGGGAGCTCACTGTTTCAGAGTTCTCCGTCGGGGGTGGGGCTAAACATCTGGGCAGAAGAATATAGTAGAGGAAAGCAGTTCAAGATGAGAGAGAGGAGGGAGAGGGAGAGACAGACAGAAAGTACTCATGCGAAGGACAAAATTTACACCCCAAAGGCATGCCTCCAGTGACACATCTCCTCCAGCTATACCCTACCTGTTTACAGTTGCACTCAGTTAATTCCTATCAGGGGATTAATTCACTGATGGGGTTAAAGTCTCATAACCCACTCATTTCACCTCTAAACCTTCTTGTATTTTCTCACATATGAGCTTTTTAGGGGACACCTCACATCCAAACGATAACAATTGGCAAGTGCTTTTCTTACCACATTTGCCTTTAACATTGTGATTTCTTTTTCTTTCATTCAATTTGTTCTTGATCATAGTTGTTCTCCCTACAGGAATCTCTCTCCCCGTCTTGACTACAGGAGTGTGGACCTTTCTTCACGGCCTCTCTGGACACACTGTCTTGCATCCTCCAGGAAAGATGCGGCAGCTCAAAGGGAAGCCCAAGAAGGAGACATCCAAGGACAAGAAGGAGCGGAAGCAGGCCATGCAGGAGGCCCGACAACAGATCACCACAGTGGTGCTGCCCACACTGGCTGTGGTGGTGCTTCTGATAGTGGTGTTTGTGTATGTGGCCACACGCCCCACCATCACCGAGTGAGCACCTGGCTGCCAAGGACTCCTTGGGCAGGGAGGGGGAAGCAAATGAAAAATGGCTTTCATGTGCAGAGATGTTCCTGCTGCTGAGCTCTAAGCAGGAACACCCTGCTTCTCTGGTCTTTGACTTGATTAAAGTTTCTCCACTTTTCTTGGGAGGGAATAGGGAACGTTTTATCAGTAAACGTGCCATACACCTTATGGTCCACTTCATGTGCCTTTCAGACTTCAAAGCAGTGTGTGTGTGTGTGTGTGTTTCTCTCATAAATCGATATGTAGCTCCACCTGGTGAGAGGAGGACTTTGGGTCATGAAGCAGCTGGAATCAGTGCTCACCTCATCCCCATTGTTTGGAACATGCCACTTCCTACACGTGTTCACAATTTCCAAAGGGACTGTATGTCTTCTCTGTGCTTAATGTGATTTGAAATATGTTGACTCAAAGTGAAATATTTATTTTTTGAATAAAGGAGATAATAGCCTTAAACAGGATGTTTCTCTTATTTTGCCAGAAGGCACGTCTGTGGGTTCCTTTCCTGAGCCTTGCCCCTTTCTCCACTTTCCTCTCCCCTGGGGCTGGCTGTACCTCCCTTCACTCCCTATTCTTCAGCACTTTCAGGAAAATGATGCTCTTCTGCTAGAACATTTTAAGATTGTGAAGGGAGTCTTGAGAGGGGCGGAAAGTGAGTGTTAATTGACTTGTTTTAGCCATGTGAGAGTTCTAATTGTAATATGACCTCAACTGGTTTTATACCAGTTAGCCTTTCCCACTTAAATACTGTATTTGCAAACAGCAACACCAAGCAGTGCTGTAGGTAAAGGTCAGGCTTGGTTTTGTTCTTAGTTGAAAGGATGCAAATTGTTGGCATTCCAACTGAGTTTCTAATGCAAATTGGCCATGCTGGATGTGTTGCCTCATTTTATTCTAGCAGCATGGTTCTTGAGGTCCTGGTCCCTGATGGAGCAGCCTCTTTGGAAGTCAGATTCAGGTTACTGTTCTGAGGGTGTCTCATTGCTCTGTCATTGCTGATTATAGAGAGATTTGTGCATGAGAGAAGTGCTTTTGTAATCTCAGTGGCTGCATGACTTGCTCACTGATGACACAGGCTGCTATTGGAGATTTGGGGCCTCTTGGAGTTAGTCTCTCAGGAAGAGGAAAGGAAGGACTCCAGCAGATGTTCAGAGATCCTGAGACTGGGCGAGGCTGACAGAGCTCTGAAAATATTTATCAAATGCAGAGGCTGCTAGCATAAAGTTCCTCTTAGGTTTCTATTTTCCTTCCCCTTATATTGTTCTATTTTGAGTCTTAGTACTTGTTGGTCTGGGAAAAACTAAAAGCCACTTCCCCAAAGACCTGCTCATTCAGGGGCTGGAGGGATGCACCTATTGACATTCTCTAGGGTACTGGCTGTCCCCTCCTCCCAAAATGGATGCTGTGAGGACAAAGCCAGGATAGCCTGTCAACTAGTAGAAAGACTCTGGTCTGCATGTTTTCTGACCTGCATTTATTTCTCTGCCTACCGCTCAGAATTTTGCTTATTTAACCCCACTGAGCCTCAATTTCCCTGTCTGAATGGCTGCTAAAGTCACTTTTAGGGAGGTGAGTCATGTAGTAGAAAATGAGGTTCTAGAGTAAACCTGGGTTTTTATGTAGATTTTGCTGCTGAAATTTCTGAATCTATTTCCTTGTGTGAAAATGAAATTATCTTGGCTCATATGTTTGCTGGGAGGATTTAATTCAAATAGTGTATTGGTCAAGCCAAGTCCCATGTCCAGATGTTGTTACTTCATAAATAATAATGATATCTTAGCATTTGTTTTAATCCGTTTATTTTTCACACAACCCTATGAGGGTAGGTACTATTAGTACTCAGTTTTACAAATGAGTACTAATGATGCAGGACAAAAAAACTTGGCCATGTCACAGTTACAAGTTTTTTGTTTCTTAAGCTTTTGTTATTGACAATTTCTAACATGCACAAAAATAGAATATATAGTATACCTCATGTCCTCACTGACAGCTTCTGCAAATACCAACACATGGCTACCCTGCCATCCGTCTGATGCTTCCCACCCAAGACACCCCATGGGCACAAACATGGGATTCTCTTAAGGCCAAACAAGAGACGGGACTTAAACCCAGCCAGTCTAGCTCTGGAGACTATTCTCTATCATTAAATCTATTGCTTTTCAATAAATGACTATTTCCTTCTCTCCACTCTTCTTGTGGAGAAAAGAAACCTTTACTTGCCAGGTGTGTTTGACCTCCCTTACCTGGTAACAGTCACAGTGAACAGCCTCAGATGCATCTTTAGACAAATTGAGCCTTCCCTCCGGGGTATCTTAACACGGGGCGCAATTTGCTTTGTTGCTTGGAGAAGAGAAACCTTGTCCTCCTAGCTACTGAGGAGAAAGATCTGTTCTGTGGGCTCCTTAAAACATTACAGTGTTCTTGGCTTAGAGATTTTGAATAGGACTTGAGAAGAGCATGAGCTTTTTGAAGCAAAGATGTTTATAAATCAGTCACTTTGTAGCCAAACGACCTCAGTCAGGCCCCATAAACTGTGCTGTAGTTGCCCTACATCAAGTAAGGTTAATTTTATCATCTAGAGGATGATGGGATGATAAATTGAAATATGGAAAGGGCATAGCACTGTGCCTAGTACATTGTAGATGCTCAGCAAATGGCCATTTCCTTCCTTCCTTGCCAGTGTGTGTAAAACCTCATACAACATAAACGTAGGCCTGCTGCCTAAGGCTTTACCTGGCAGAGTAACATAATACTACACTGTATAATAGATCCGTTGGGTGCTTTTGAGTCTTATTTTCATCACTATTTTCCTCTTTTTTTTGTCCTTTGGGAGGCCTAGTAGATTTGAACTGGATTTTCCGAAGGCAATTACTAGGCAGGCTTGGTGAAGGCAGCCTGAAAATGGACTTTTAAAGTTAACACAACTTTGATGTGAGCCACCTCCTGGCAGGAATGAGATGCCAATTTACTGTGGACTTGCTGGGTAGAATTTTAACAATTCTCAAGGTAAATAGTACTCTCATGTGGGTGCACTAGGTAATGATTTGAGACACTAGCTTCCAAATTATTCCCAGTTATTCAGTGGTTTCAAGGCAAAACTGAATGATTTATTAGGAGTTTCACAGAAAGTCATGCTGAGGTTTCTGCAGTAGGATTTGGGACTCTTGGCTTTCAGTCCTCATTACTGAGGCTAACATTTCTTGAGCATATTCCAAAAGAGAATTTGGGTTGGAAACAGAAATAGAAACCATTGTCATTGCTTTAGAAAGTGTCGTTTGATGTATTTTTTTAAAAAAATTATAATTCTAAGATGTGTGTGTTTTTGCCTATTCTCTGGCCAACCCAAATCTTTGTGATTCACCATTGTAGTCACTTGGGGTGTGAGACCATGTGAAGAATCCAGACCCAGTCTGCCTCTCAGTGTGACATTGGTCAGTCTTCTATAGGTATGTTGGGCTAGATTCTCATAAGAGCTCTTGTATCCCAGAGAGTCTGTGAATGTAGAGTTAATAAAGTCCCTACCTGAATGGATGATCAGTGTAGAGCTCAAGAGAACCTGCAGCTCCTGGGAACAGGAGATCTGTGGATCTGGGTCTGAATCTGAGACAGCAAAGTTTAGTTTGACAGGCTCTGAGACCACCAGCTGTAATTCCTTCCCTGTCAGCTCAAGGGCCAAGTAGCACGCACCCACCCATCTTTCATGCATCCTTTATGTGGTCATAGGAAGAAAATATGCACCCAGACTCATCTATAAATCGGAGATGGCAGCACTTGAAATCTGTTGCTGGGAAAATCAAACAGATGATTGTCCCTCTCCGCCCAAAGGATTCATCATCATTTACTTATTAGAGGTAGAAAAATAAGTAAATCTCTTAAAATTGTGGCTCTTAGACTTCTTTGGAGAAGTCTACCGTCATATTTATGTGCATTTTCTACAACTCTGCCTTGATACATGTTGTGTGTCTCCTGATCATATGCCTAAGAATAAATGAGGTTTTTTTTTTTTTTCAGGAGCCATGTCTAATTCTGTGTTCTCAGCAGTCTTTGCCACAGACTATTGCTTAAACATTAGAAACAAGATACAGAATCTTTGGATCAAGGAAATATATGAGTAGCTTCTTCTAAATCCTTCTAGAATATAAGCACTAGAATTGAAGAAGGGTTTACACGTCCTTTGGGTTCTTGTCCCTTTACACTTTGCTTTAAATATCAGGCAGAGCAGTTGTGTACGTGAGGCTTGCCTCACTCATTCTATTGGGCCCTAGTTTTGTTTTTTTTTTTCCCTTTATGGATATTTGTGTAGTTCAATAGGCAGTACTATTCTGAGTATTTCCTCATTACTGTTCACGGCAAGCGTCTCTGATTTTAGTGTACTTTAGTGGGGTCATCTGTGTTATCTTCCTACCTGCCTGTTCTTTGGAAAAGAACCGGTTCTCTTCAAAAAGCTTTTAATCCCTTTAGTTGTTGAGTAATGGTTTGAGGAACATAGAGCCAAGTAATGTCATGGTTAAGGCTTCCCCTGACCTTGGCATTTATTCCCCCTGGTTTCATGAAGGTTGTCTGTGTTTGAACTCTCCCTGGTAGAAAACTTTTTTCTCCAATTTTTGAATATTTGTTTTCAAATTGAAACAGAACACAAGTGGTCACATGCTCATCACTTGAGCTCTTTTGGAAAGCATATTAAGTCTTTTGGGATCAGACCTAACTCCCAAGGCACCAACTGGTTTAGAATGGAATAAATTAAGAAAGACCACTCTGAACTGCTTTTGCAAAACCCTCCACCTTGAAGTACTTCTGCCTCCAACTATATTACTGGCTCCTTTGAAGTCCTGCCCAAGTCTGTTTCATTCATCTGGATTCTAAAGACATTGAAATTTCTGCCTCACACAGTCTTCCCAGATTGGATTTTAAAAGACACAGCAATTGTTTACAAAGACATATTTAAAGCAAAGGTGTACAAAGATTGAAAATAAAAGATGGAAAAAATTATGGCAGGCAAATATGAACAAAAGCCATGGCATCAGTTTTAACATTATAAAACAAGGTACAAAGGATGACATATACTAGTAATACAATTTTAAAATTAAATCTATGGCTGTGGATAGGTAGGTTGATAATATGGTAGGTTGTTTATATATATAATATATATACTATATATATAAAATATATATAAAGTATATAATATATATATAATATGTAAAGTGAAAGACTATTGGCAGAACTATGAGGAAAGTACATTAAGTTTAGTTGGAGTTTGTATGATATACCTTTCAGAAGTTGATAGATCAAGCCAGCTGAAAGGAATAAAGATGCCAAATATTTGAATAATAAAAATTAGCAAGCTTGAACTGGTAGATAAATATAGATCTGTTCACTCAACTGAGAATGTACATTTTTTAAGAACTCACATGGAACATTAATAAAAGTTGGCTTAATTTTCAAA